AGATTCCACTTAAAAGTGAAATTATATGATTACTTGTCTTTCTCTGACTTATATGGTACTTGTTTTTCACTTAGCATAATACTCTCTAGCAACAATAAAAAATATTTTTTAAAAAAGAAAGAAAAAATAGCCAAAATATAAGATTTCCTTTTCTTTCTTAATATAACAGAGTAATATTCCACTGTATAAGTGTACCACAGCTTTTTTATCCACTCAAATACTAATGGGCACTTGGGCTGTTACCAAGTCGTAGCTATTGTAAATAATGTGGCAAAGAACATAAGGTTCTTTCAAATTAGTGTTTTGGGTTTCTTCAGATACACTTCCAGAAGTGGAATCACTGTGCCATCAGACAGTTCCATTCTAAATTTTTTGTGGTAACTCCATACTGTTTCCCAGAGTGCCTGTACCAACCTGCATTCCCTTTTTTACCCATCCTTGCCAACACTTATTGTTTGTCGATTTATTGATAATAGTCATTCTGACAGGTGTGAAGTGATATACTCATTGTGGTTTTGATTTGCATTTATCTGATTATTAGTAACATTGAGCATCTTTTCATGTCTACTGACCATCTTATGTCTTCTAGGGAGAAGTGTCTATTTATGTCCTTTGCCTGATTTTTAATTGGGTTGTTTTTGTTGTTGAGTTGTTTAAGTTGTTTATAAATTTTGTTTAGTAAACCTTTCAGAACTATCATTGGTGAATGTGTTCTCCCAGTCAGTGGGTTGTCTTTTCATTTTTTTGATGGTATACTTGGCTGGGCAAAAACTTTTAGTATTTTGTAGTCTCATTTTTTTTTTCCTGTTATTTCCCTTGCCTGAGGAGACATATCAGAAAAAAATATTGCTTTGAAAAATGTCTGAGATTTTACTGCCTATGATTTCTTCAAAGACTTTTATGGTTTTTGAGTCTGAAATTAAAGTCTTCAATCAATTTTGAATTTATTCTTCTGTATAAATAAGAAGGAGGTCTGGTTTTGGTTTTTATTGCTGGTATCTGTCCCATGTTTTCAACATCATTTTTAATAAATTATCTTTATTCTATTGTATGTTCTTGCCTTCTTTGTCAAGTGTTAATTGACCATGAAGGCATGGGTTTTCTTCTAGGCTCTTTATTCTATTTCATTGACCTTTATGTCTGTTTTTATGCCAGTACCATGCTGTTTTGATTACTATAACCTTGCAGTATAATTTTATATCAGGTAACATAATTACTTTAGCTTAGTTATTCTTTACCAAGAATGCTCTATCTATTTGGGGTCTTTTGTGCTTCCATAGAAAGTTTGGAAATATTTGTTCCAGTTCTGTGAACTATGCCATTGGTATCTTGATAGGAATGATGTTGAATTTATACATTGCTTTGACTAATTTGGACATTTTAATGATGTTAACTCTTCCTACCCAAAAACACAGTATATGTTTCCATTTATTTGTACCTTCTTCAATTTCTTTCTTAAGCATCTCATAATTTTTTTGAGTAGAGGTCTTTTATATCCTTGGTTAAATTTATTCCTAGGGATTTTTCTATGCAATTATAAATCAGATTTTATTCTTTGTTTTCCTTTCTGATGGTTCATTGTTGATATATTAAAATGCAACTGATTTCTGGATATTTATTTTTGCCCTTCTAATTTACTGCATTTATTTATCTGTTCTAGTGGTGTTTTTGGTGGGTTCCTTCGGTTTCTCTATATACAGCATCATGTCATCAGCAAATAATGACAGTTTTACATTTTCCTTTCCAGTTCAGATGTCTTTTATTTCTTCTACATGTCTGATTGCAGTGGCTAGGTCTTCCAGTACTATACTGATAAGACTGGTGAAAGTGGACATCCCTGTCTTCTTCCTGACCTTCAGGGAAACACTTTTAAGTTTTTGCCTGTTGAGTATAATGTTGTCTCTGATTCTGTCTTACATAGCCTTTATTGTGTTGAAGTATGTTCCCGCTATTTTACTTTGCTGAGAGTTTATAGCATAGATGGGTATTGGATTTTAAGGTGGTATGTTTCTAGGAATTTATCCATGTCATCCAGATTGTTTAATTTGTTGCCATACAGTTGTTTGTAATATTGTCTTATTATCTCTTGTATTTCCCTGGAGTCAGTTGTCACTTATCTTTCATTTCTGACTTTCTTCATTTGGGTCCACTTTTCTTTTTTTGATGAGTCTGGTTAAAGATTGTCAATCTTTATCTTTTCAAAGAACCAGTTTTTGGTATCATAGATTTTTTTTTTTTTTTTTTTTTTTTTTTTGTATTGCTGTTTTTGTTGGTTGGCTTGTTTTTTAGATCCCATTTCATTTATTTTTACTGTGATCTTGGTTATTTTCTTCCTTCTGCTCATTTTGGGATTTTTTGTTTGTTGTTTTTTTTTCTGGTATCTTTAAGGGTAAAATTATATTGTTTATTTGAAATTTTTAATTTTGCTTCAGGTAGGCCTGCTATGAATTTCCTCTTAGGACTGCTTTTGTTGGGTCCCTTAGATTTGGGGTTTTTGTTGTGTTCTCATTTTCATTTGTTTCAAGGTATCTTTCGATTTCTCCCCATATCTCATTGTTAATCCATTCACTATTTGATAACAAGTGATTTAGCCTCCACATCTCCGTTTCTTTTTCATTGTTTTTTTAAATTGGTTTCTAGTTTCATATCATATGGACAGAGAAGATGCTTGATGTGATTTCATCTTCTTAAATTTATGGAGACTTGTTTTGTGTGTAACATGTGGTCTATTCTTGAAAATGTTACATATGCATTTGAAAAGAATGCATATTTAGTTGCTTTTGGGTGAAATGCAATGAATATATTTTTAAAAATTCATCTGGCACCCAGTTGGTGTGGGTAAGTATTGGCAATTCACCAAGAGGTAACTGGTTCAATTTCCAGTCAGGGCACATGCTTGGGGCTAATTCCAGGTCATAAATACAAAAAGTTCATCAAAAGGTGGGTGGACCTTGAAGCTTCAGCAGGGCTGAAGACACATATTATTGTTGGCTGGAATAGCTGAAAGTATTTTACCAAACCTGAAAACCTACATGTTATTACCTGCTGCTGGCCTAACAGCTGAACAGCTGAGGGCAGTTCCTCCAACCTGATAATTTACTGTTTACCAAACTTTACCTTTGATATGTGTGTTTGCTTTCCTTCAGGGCAAAAATCCTATATAATAAAAGCCTAATATGGTAAGTATCTGATCATCTGGTCAGCAGTTCAAACAATGAAAGTATAATATAAAACTCCTGACTCCACTATGGGGCAGGGCGGAGTTATCCTCCATTAACTGGACCCTAGCCCAATCAGGGTCAGCAAAAGCAGTGACATCACCACCAGAGTAAAACCCCAGGGCTTGGCGAAATTCGCTCTTCTGCCATGCTGTCAGCATGAGTGGGACAGAGCCCATGCTAGCATGGAAAAGGCTCTTTTGTTTATTGCATCGGACTTGGCTCCCTGGTGGTACCTGGGGATCACGAAGTTTGGGCGTAACACCCATCACCTGAAGAACGGACTTCCAAGTTGTGACAAAGCACCTCTAGACCTTACTCCTTCCTGTCCTATTGTTAAAACTTCTCTCTCTTTTTAAAATAAAAATAAAAAAGGACACGTGCATGCCCCTAAACAAAAAAGATATACTAAGGCTACTTAACTGCTTGCTATGATGTGCACTGGCCATCAGAAGGCTGAGAGTCAATTGGCCAACCAGTCACTATGACATGCATTAACCATCATGGGGCAGATGCTCCGACCAGTAGGTTAGCTTGCTGCTGTGGTCTGGCTGATCAGTATTGAGCAAGATGGGCCAGATATGCCCAGGAGACCTCCCACAGTCCATCCCCAGCTTGCCAACCTCCTGCTTCCATCTCTGGCCCTAATTGTGCACCACTGGGGTCCCTTGGCCTGGTCTGTACCCTCTCACAATCTAGGACCACTTTGAATGTCCAGTTCAGTGGTATTGTGTACATTCACATTGCTGTTTAACCATCATCACCACCCATCTCCAGAACTCTTTTCATCTTGCAAAAATGAAACTCCTTATTTCCCAATTAAACACTAACTCCCTATTTTTCTTCCCACAGATCCGGGAAACCAAAATTCTATGTCATGTCTTTATGAATTTGACTACTTTAGGTGCCCCATATAAGTGGAGTTACACAGTATTTGTCTTTTCAAGTTGCGCTATTAGATGTAGAGATGTTAGATAGAATGCAGGAAGGAATTATAAGGAATGTTGGGAAGCATATATCCCAGTATTGCTAGGAAACGCCTGTTGATAAGAATTTATTCAAACATGTTATTAAACCATTCAATTTCAAGATATTCTGGTTTGAACAAGAAATAAAATAATCACCCCATTTTCTCAAGAATCTGACCACAATGATGAAGGAGCAAAAATATGAAAAAACAGAGAAGAATCTGGCAAAAGTATAGAAAGAATAAGTAACAGAAAGAGAGAGCTATGGTTTTTCTTTCCTTTTTTCCATCACATGTATCCCCTCTATGCAGTCTTCCACCTCCACCGCCACCCCAATCACCACATTGTTGTCTATGTCCATGAGTTCTCTCTCTTTTGTTTTTCTTTTCTCTTCAATCCCTCCACCCACTACCACCCCAACACCCTCCCACAAAGCTGTATATCTGTATCTATTTACAATGATTGAAACAAGACTGCCCGTAACCAACAGTCTTGGGTAGTACATAAGGAAAGTGAGAAGGGTAAACTGATGTCCTATGCATAATCCTGAAGGAGCTATGACTTAAGTAAAGAGTTAAAATTAATCTCCCAATTTCATTACAGCTGTGCTAAAAGGAAAAATTATGTAAACAGAAAGCAAAGAGCCATATAGGAACACAGTATACACTATGTGACTACATATTCAGAATTTCTTTTTTAAATATATTTTTACTGATTCAGAGAGGAAGTGAGAGAGAGAAACATCAAAGATAAGAGAGAATCATCCATCAGCTACCTCCTGCATGCTCCACACTGGGGATTGATCCAGTAACCCAGACACATGCTTCAACTGGGAATCGAACTGTGACCTTCTGATTCAAAGGTCAACACTCAACCACTGAGCAACACTGGCAAGGCAATCTTCAGAATTTCCTATTGTTTGATTTTCTGCTTTTTCCAGTCTAAGAACAAAAATGATAGCACAGGTATAGAGATCAGACTATTCTTCTGACCATCCTCCATAGGGCATTCTTGATGTCCCTGTTCCTTAGGCTGTAAATGAAGGGGTTCAGCATGGGGTTGACCACAGTGTATATCACTGAGGCCACTGCATCTTTCTTCAGGGAAGATGAGACAGCTGAACTGAGGTACACACCAAGGCCTGTCCCATAAAATAAGCAAACAACTGACAAGTGAGAGCCACAGGTGGAGAAGGCTTTATATTTTGAACCTGATGATGGCATTCTCAGAATGGAGGACACAATTCTATAGTAAGAGAAAAGAATCCATGAGAGTGGGACACCACCAAAGATGGCGCCAATAAAGTAGATCAATATGTCATTGGTAGAGGTGTCAGAACAGGCAAGGTTGAAGAGTTGAGAAGGCTCACAAAAAAAATGAGGGATTTCCACATCTGCACAGAAGCTAAGTTGTGACACCATCAAGTAGTGCAGCTGGGAGTCCAAAAGGCTGATGAAAAATGACAGCAGGACCAACAAGCCACAGAGGCGAGGGCTCATGATGACCAGGTAGTGTAGGGGCTGACAAATGGCCACCAAACGGTCATAGGCCATCACAGCCAGGAGTAGACTGTCTAAACATCCAAAAAGAGAATAACAGGTAGCCTGAGTTAGGCAGCCTGCATAGGTGATGGACTTGTTGTGAGTCTGGAGGTTCCGCAGCATCTTAGGAACTGAAGTGGTACTGAAACTGATGTCAGCCAAGGACAAGTTGGAAAGGAAGAAGTACATAGGTGTGTGGAGGTGAGAGTCAGAGATGACAGCCAGGATAATAAGTAGGTTCCCGAGCATGGTCACCAGGTACATGGACAGGAACAGCCCAAACAGAAGAGGCTGCAGTTCTGGATCATCTGAGAGTCCCAGGAGGAAGAATTCTGAATCACCTGTTAGATTCTGTGTTTCTATGCAGATAAGACACATTTTGAAAAATAAGAGGGTATTAAATAAATGGAACAAGTGTACAGGTGTCCATACTTTGGATTCAAACGATACATAAATAAAGTATTTACAGTTGAGGACCATATACCCTCTCTTTTTATTACCTTCAGCGGCATTTCTCAGTTAGCTTTTTTATAACTCCATATTAATGTCTGGGCTATTCACCTGTTTCCATATACACTCACTTAAGAGACACTGGGTCAATAAATATTAGAGGTAAAAGAACATTTTGAGACTACAAGTCCATGAACAGAGTAAAATATCATTCTTTCACTTTTGAAGGAAAAATATTCTTTTCTAAGACAAAAATCATTATCATTAAAAGACATTAAGAGTTAGATGTACTTTTTCTCACCCAAATGCAGTATAAGAAATGCTTTTAACTTGGAATGTAGTATAGAGGAGCTAAAACCACATTAACTGTATTCTAACTTAAAATAAAATATTTATAATCACATAGCATTTTTATATGGCAGTTATCATTTAGGTTTTCATCTTTATTTGGTTTTATGGCATCCATCTTCCACAGAGATAAGTGCTTATTTAAATGTGTGGATTGTCTGGTCAAATTCCCCTCAAATATAATTCACATATAATTATTTGTTCTTAGTGGACTTTGCATTTTGAAAAACATGTTTGTGTTAAATGCACAAAATCATACAGTACCACTGATCTTAAAGATCGTATAAATTTAGAATGCATCAATTATTCTCTCTAATAAAAGAGAAACATGCAAATTTACCATTCCTTTACTACACCCACAAGCCACACCCACCAGCCAATTCGGCAAGTATGCAAATTAACCCAACCAAGATGGCAAATTAATTTGCATATCCAGGCCACAGCAAAGTCTGACGATAGTGTAGAAAAAAGCCAAGAGCTGCAGAAGGGAGTGGAGCTGTGAAGAAGCAAGCAAGTGGGACAGCAGAGAAGGAAGGGAAGCAGGCGGGGCAGCGGAGACCACAACAGGAAGCCCTATTGCAGGAATATTAATGTCCTCTAGTCCTCTATAATAAAAGTTTAATATGCTAAGTGTCCAGTCGTCTGAACATCCATTCAATCAAAGCATAATATGCTAATGGCATGCTTAGCCCACTCAGTTGCTCGCTATGATGTGCCCTGACTACCAGGGAGCAGATACTCTGACTGGTAGGTTAGCTTGCTGCTGGGATCTGGCCGATCCGGACTAAGTGCAATGGGCCAAAGAAGCCCTGGAGCCCTCCCACAATCCCTCTCCGGCTGGCCAACCTCCCGCATCTGGGAGGTTGCAGTCTGGGCTAAGGGACTCCCCATCACCACCTGAGTACACAGATTTTGTGTATTGGGCCTCTAGTTAAATAATTTTCACGACTACTCTATATTCACTTTTTTTTTTAAAGGTTATTTTCCATAAGTGATACAGAATCTCAGAGAAACATCTGAGGTTGAGTTTGCACTTTTTTGTTTTGGTTCAGAGTGGGTTGGTAAAACTTCTTACATTTGTCTCTAATCACAAACATTTGTGAAGGTTTGATTTCTCATCAAAACCAATTCTCCAATGAATAGTTGAGAAAATTTAGGACCAAAGCCAGGCCTCAAATTTTACGTTCGCATTTTGATGCCAGTTCAAGAGCTTTCCAAGTAAATTCCTTCTTACAGAGGGATTGCATTTCTCCTAAATTCATCCCCCTGAAGGCAACTTGGGTAATTTCTTTTGTCAGGTCAAAATATGATATAATTACTTAAGTATTGCTTTGTCAAAATATTTATTCCTCTCTCATGCACTGTTGGTGGGAATTGTAGACTGGTGTAGCCATTGTGGAGAACAGTATGGAGTTTCCTCAAAAAACTAAAAATGGAACTCCCATTTGACCCAGTGATCCCGCTTCTAGGACTATATCCAAAGAAACTAGAAACATGAATCAGAAAGGATATATGCACCCCTATGTTCATAGCAGCACAATTCACAATAGCTAAGATTTGGAAACAGCCTAGGTGCCCATCAGCAGATGAGTGGATTAAGAAAACTGTGGTACATCTACACAATGGAATACTACGCTGCAGTAAAAAATGAGTTATTACATTTGCAACAGCATGGATGGAACTGCAGAGCATTATACTAAGTGAAATAAGCCAGTCAGAGAAAGATAAATATCATATGATCTGACTCATTTATAGAATATAATGAACAACATAAACTGATGAACAAAAATAGATCCAGAGGCCAGAGAAACATTGATCAGACAGTCAAGCCTCAGAGGGAAGGTAGGGGAGGGTGGGTGTAAGAGGGAGAGATCAATCAAAGGATGTGTATGCTTGTATATAAGCCTAACCAATGGACACAGACAACTCATGAGTGGGAGTAATGGGGAGGGGGAATAATGGGGAAATAAGGACACATATGTAACACCTTAATCAATAAAGAAATTTAAAAAATATTTAAAATATTCCTTTTTGTGACATGCTAGATTCCTATGGCTATATCTGAGCATTTCTATTTTGTAAATACTCCCTAACTTTACTTAAGTAAACAATATTTTAATAAACTATTTTTGCAATTTTAAGAGTCTCATGCTCTACCGACTGAGCTAGCCGGGCACTTCCTATTTTTGCAATTTTAAAATGATGTAATTTGGGAAAAATTAAAAGGGATAAAAGAACAAAGACTACTATTACAAACACTTGGGTTGTTTGTTCATCTGTAAAATAGGTATATTAATTGAACTGACCTTATAGGGTTGTTGTAAAAAATAAAATAAAATTATAACTATAAAATAATTATTGGTTATCAATTGTATTTGATCATCATAATTATCTATCGATCTTTTAAAAGTTAATGATAGGCTAGCTGTAACCTAGAACCAATTAAACCAGAATTTCTACATGTAAGTCCTTCAGGCATATTAACATATAGCCAGTGTAGGGAATCATTGCCAGGCTATTAATAAATGTTGTATTAATATTACCTACTATTATTTTAGCCAGTTCCCATATTAAAATGTAAATATTAATAATATGCTATAGAACTCATATTTTTTAAAATATGTTTTTATTGGTTTTTTTTAGAGAGAGGAATGGAGGAGAGAGATGGAAACATCAATAAGAGATACAGATCTTGCACTCCCCCTACTGGGGATAGAGACTGAAACCCTGGCATGTGGCCTGACTGGGAATCAATTGTGATCTCCTGGTGCACAGGACAACACTCAATCCACTGTACCACACTGGCCAGGCAGAACTCATGTTTATCATTGGTAAAATCTGAAGTTATTTTGCTGTCCCTGCATGATTTTCCCCTGCACTTCAAAGACAAATACCATCATAAATTTGGTAGATGCATTTTCCTTTCAATATTTTCATAACATTAATATTGAGTTATGTATTCATAAGCAGTTTTCTTGAAAACTTACCTAAATACTCTTATACTACGCTTACTATTCCCTAAGTTCTCATTTACCACAGCATTGCATTTCAAGTCTCTCTGTGAAATACATACATTTTTTTCAGCACTTTAAGTGATGCTTAGTGTTACCTGACAAATAAACTACATTTTATTTTTCAATTTTTATTATGACAGTTCTAAGAAAATCCTTAAGCCTCTTCTCCACATCACACATGTGAAAATGTTCTAAAGACATATGCATAAAAGATAATTGTTTCAATTGAAATTTTTGATATATAGGCAATTTTACTATTGATTACCTATACTAGTTTTCCCAATAGAATAATTAGGCAAAATTAATTACATGCTCTGATTGCCAAGGTATAAAATTAGAAAGTTCCCTGAAGTCTTACTAGCCATACTCTTTTCAGGATAGACCCATGAAAATACCCAACTTATATAGGGAATGATGATTTGATAGCTCATGTTTATAAAATGTGCTTTAAAAAAAAAAAGTGCATTACTATCTACAGAAAGCCCTACAATTCTACATCCATAAAGGTCCTTGCAAGCCACAGATGAATTCACCAAATCCCAAGAGAAGGAATTGGTGTTTGGTGCCCTTGTTTGGAAAGAAACAATCATTGTGCCTCAGTGGAGGGGGCAGAGCCTGGTCTGGGAATCAGAAGGCCTGTGTCTGAGTCCCACTAAGTGGGAAGTGCGGGTAATTCCTTACACCTGTCTGTGCTGATAGCTGTTACGCAGAAATGGGAGATTAACACCCATTTCTGGCAAATGTGTGGCATCAAACAGAGGTTTGCCTTTAAATAAATGTTCATTTATGTTTTAAATCACATTGAAATAGTGGGTTTGTTGATGAAAATCAATCCCAGGAAAGACTGAAAGACATTTTATTCTATGATTCAGCAGAGAAAGATAGAAGCCTATCACCTCCCAGCTAATTCACTCATGGAAAAAGTGGAAATCCTGAAATGTGTCTCTGTCCACACAACAGGATTTACTTCACTTTTCCTGTCTTTTTTCATTTTTATGTAAATCTCCACCATTTTTCTTTGTATTTAAATGCTGTTGATTCTATTAAATGGAAAATGAGAGCTTTCTTAGACAATCCCTGACAGAGATGCATATAAACACTTTTATCTTCTGCTAGGCCCCCAGAGGCATTGCTCCAAGGGGGGAAATTACTGAAAAGAAAGCACTGGGCCTGTGGAAGCCTTATCACTCGCCTAATTCTAGATCCAAGGAAGAGTCTATTCAATATTTAGCAGAGATCATTGTTCTCTGCTAGGCACTGGGGGGTCAAAAATGAATGAGACTCAGTTGTTTCCCTCCAGGTATTCATGTTCTACCTCTAAGGTCAAAAATACCTGAACCTTTCTATATGGGTGCCCTCCCAGCTGTTTGTCCCAACTCTCCTGTTTGTCCTAATGATGAAAAAAATAAGTTTCCCAAGTCCCTTCTCAAATCTCTCACCTCCACAGTACTCACTGGGCAGGTCTGTCTCTGCTGAAGTCTGACCAAGGAGTGGGAATCCACTGGCCCTGTCCTGCCTGGCAAGCAATGAAGGTTCAGGTTCCATCAAGACTGGCAGGATGTCAAAGTTAGTCTTGATGCAGTGGATGCGAGAGGAGAAGACTCAGATGTGAAGCCCCCTGGACTGAGACAGGAAACTGAAGGGCTGTAGACACAGCAGATTATCTATTGCTGCATGGCCCTGGGAGCTCAATGCACAG